ACCGACGGAGTGATTCGTCGTTCATAACATGCCAATCACTGATTTGTCTGAATCCCCCCATAATAGAACGTCATGAAGCTGAAATAAGAGTGAGTGTTGAGTTGTTGAGTTGGGTTTTGCGTCACATCGGCATTATTCCAGCCATATAGTGACGAGAACAAGTTTGCATTAATAAACATTGTAAGTACATACTCGGAATGAGTTTTATTTCAAAAACATATATTCATTATATTGTCATTTAAAAGCAGAAAAAATCATAGCATCAAATTTAAAGGCAGGCAATTTGTTAGTCACATTTCACAGGTATAATTTATGATAGTTACATTTCACAGTTACAATTTATGATACAGATCAACTTCCCGCAGGTAGTTCACTATCAGATGAGCGCTCACGCGGGAGAACAGATCTTTCAGATTTGTTGCATCAAAGTGTGAGTCCCTTGCAGACGATAAGTCCACGCATTCAAGCAGAATATGCTTGATGGTGAAAACCTCATTGCAAGAGACACACTTGGGGGGTACATCCCCATCCGTTTTCAGCAGATAGTCATGAGAAAATCGACTGTGGCCAATACGACATCGTCGTAAAATTACCTCATCACGTCTTGACTGACAACCCAAGTAGGTATAACCAATTGTTGGTTTCAATTCATACAGTTTATTTCTTCCTACTTGAGTGTCCCATCGTTTTTGCATGAGGTCCCGAGTATAGCTTTTGATAGTGGGTTTGAAATCACTGTACGGGATCAGCAGTGGAGATAAGGGCTTGTCAAGAGCTGCTTTTGCTGCAGCATCGGCTTTTGTGTTACCTGCTATGCCGACGTGACCCGGCAACCAGCAGGGGACGATGTCACATTGGCCAGTAGAGAGGTCGTTTGGGTGACTTGAAGTAACATTTTGAAGTGATTGAAGGCATGATAATGAATCTGTGAAAACGATGAAGTTTTTGGAATGATTCTGCTGTTTAATATAGGTCAAAGCTGAAAAGATAGCTTTGGCCTCGGCAGTGAAAATGGAACTGTTGTCGGGAATCCTAGAGGAGACAGTCTTAGATCCAATGACTGTAGCACTGGCGACTTGGCCCTCATCCTTGGATCCGTCTGTGAAAATGGATCTATGGGTGTCATACTTGGAACGTAACTGGATGTATTCCTGTTGGAACACCAAGGGATTTGTTTCAGACTTTTTGAATTTAGTGAGGGTAAGATCGACCTGTGGTTTCACCATCTGCCAGGATGGTGAAGACAGGAGTCGGTAAGGTGCTATGCTATTGAGTTCAATTTTAGCTGCAGATATGTGTGGTTGAATTCTGATTCCAAGTGGTAGAACCAGGCTTGGCAGTTTAGGAAACAAGTTTTCATAGAGAGGGTTGAAAACACAATTGGATGCTGGGTTGGACTGATTTGAACGTAGTTTAGTGATATACTGCAGTGAAAGTTTAATGCGGCGTTGTTCAAGGGAAGGTTCGTTAGCCTCTGCATATAGACTGTCTACCGGAGAGGTCCTAAAAGCTCCCAGGCAGAGCCTCAGGCCTTGGTGGTGGATAGAATCTAATTTTTCTAAATTGCTTTTGCAGGCTCCACCATAAACAATGGAGCCGTAGTCTAGTTTAGAGCGAACCAAAGATCTGTACAGGTGAAGGAGGGTAATCTGATCCCCTCCCCACTCTGTATTTGAAACGACTTTTAGTAAGTCCAGAGCCTTCAAGCACTTGGTTTTCACATATTTTATGTGTGGCAAGAATGTCAGGTGGCGGTCGAATATGAGTCCCAGGAATTTGGCCTCTTCTACTACCTTGATGGGAGTACCATCTAAAGATAGGTCTGTATCCTTGTGTGGTCTGTATTTACGACAAAAGTGAATACAATTTGTTTTGGATTTTGAAAACTTAAAGCCATTTTCATTGGCCCATTTTTGGATTTTGTTAAGGCAGAGTTGTAGCTGCCTTTCTATTGCGTGCATGTTCTTACCACGACATGAAATATTGAAATCGTCCACGAAAAGGGACCCATCAACACAACTGTTCAGGACGTTAGTGAGGCTGTTAATTTTGATGCTAAAAGGGTGACAGACAGGATGCTGCCTTGGGGGACGCCCTGATCTTGGTGGAAATAATCAGACAATGTGGAACCTAACCGTACTTGAAATTGTCTGTTGTTTAAAAACTGAGATATGAACTGAGGCAATCTGCCCCTCAATCCAAATTCATGTAAATATTTTAAGATACCATGTTTCCACGTTGTATCGTATGCTTTTTCTAAATCGAAGAAGATAGATACAGTATGTTGTTTGTTGACGATGGAATTTTTTATGAAAGATTCCAGACGCACCAGATGGTCAATGGTACTTCGTTTTTCGGAAACCACATTGGAGGTCACTGAGGAGGTTATTGGTCTCCAGGTACCAGATTAATCGATTGTTGACCATGCGCTCCATGGTTTTACAAACACAGCTAGTTAGTGATATAGGACGGTAGTTTGAGGGATCGGTATGATCCCTGCCAGGTTTTGGTATAGGGATGATAATGGCGTTGTGCCACGAAGGGTGAGTGAGTGAGTTTAGTTTTACGCTGCACTCAGTATTATTCCAGCTATATGGCGGGGTTCTGTAAATAATCGAGTCTGGACCAGACAATCCAGTGATCAACAGCATTAGCATCGATCTGCGCAATCGGGAACTGATGACATGTGTCAACCAAGCCAGCGAGCCTGACCACCCGATCCCGTTTGTGGCCTCTTACGACAAGCATGGTTTACGGAAGACATATACCTATATGGATAGTGCGGAGGACAATATCACCAAACAGTTTGCCAATATTTCATATTGTCAACAGATGTTTGGGTTAGTTTTCCACAAATGTTCGGTTTAGGCTCTATTTGTGCAAACATTTGGCTTGACCCTTGTTCACACTGAACAATCCACATGACATTGCTGGAATATTGTTGACTGCAGGTTTTACGCCATTCAACTTTCAGTTTAGTCGAGCACTTTCATGGTTAATATAAAGAGATTCAGCTACAAAAGAGTTTTGTAGGATACGCGACAATTTCTCAGGTTTGTACTAGTATAAAAGCTTTTGAAATCAGGAATTACTTACAAACAGAAACAAAGGGCACACAAACTTGAAACTTATGACCATGACCCGAGGTATCGTCTTTCCCCACATCGAACGGATGTCCTCCTGAAGCCTCTTTGCTCCTTCGAGGGAAAAATCATCATGAGAAACTTTTCACATTTATAACAGCAAGCATGCCTCTTTTGCAGAACAAATAAAGGCAATGAAATGAACACATCAAAGAGTTTCATCTTCAGCTTTGCAAAAATACGTTCCTGAAAGGACAGAAGAACACAAATGAAGGGTTATGAGAAAACAAATGTGAATGCGGGACTTCCTCATTGTTAACATCTGCTTAAAACGCGGGGGTAAAACATTTAGACAGGAAGTAGGCAACAAGGTAGTTTAGTCAAAACGTTCCCCTTTACCTTCAGGCATATCGATAATGTAATATTGTTCCATGAACATCAATGAAATAGGGGACAAATGCGAGTCCCTCATGTATTTCATATTTAGTTGTTTGAGTTCAGTGTGACATAAACCTTTCCACAAAGCTGTATGATAAAAGGAATGATGTCATCTTTCCGACAGTCAACCTTTTCTTCACATTGAGCAATATTCCAACAGCTTCAGATTTTGATGGTTACATTTCGCAATCGAGCAAGCTCTTTTTATCAAGATTTCAAATGGTGCCAACTCTTGCTCAGAAGATGTCCGATCAAGATTTCAACACGGAAGGCCCCGGTAAAACTGACAAAATTTTATTGTAGACATAAGGAAATAATTTCAATATATGACGCAATAGTAACGAAAACGATTTTTGATGCACTACTCTATTTTGACTTATCAGTATTCATATAAGCAAATTAAAGGGACTTAAAGTAGTTTCACGTTTTTTAAGGGCACCAATAATGATGAATTCTTACCATAACACCAACCCACAGCAATGCACTCAAGGACGCCAAACACGGCCGTCGATGGGAAGTAGGCGTACCAGTCAACAAGCGTCACCACGTATATTCCACCCTAAAACAAGATATGGTATAATAAGACGTGTATTTTCAAGATTACCAAACCTGAATTGTACAAAGTGTGAAGCCCATATCTGTTGTCTCCCGTCGTGATATTGCTGGAATATTGCTAAAGGCGGCGTAAAACTAAACTCACTCACTTTATAACGTCATGCTGTTGCAATGGGAGAAATACCATTCCACATCACATGTTGACAAGCTTGTGTCGAAGAAAATAATGAAGTGGCCATGCTAAGTTTTGGTACTTTGTAAGGATAAATCGTATATCTATATCTTTTTCGGGTTCGTCGTGCATGCACTCGTCAGACTGAAAACATGATTTCCCCACATGGGTACATTGTGAAGCCAATTTCTTTCGGCCGCCTTGATATTGCTGGTATATTGCAAAAAGCGATATACCTCGTAACATCATACTCACTCACTAAGTCCCTTTTCCTGTTTTCAAGACAGGTGGGCTATTCCATTTTGGTTGGAGGTCAGCTTCACAGAGCTGAAGGTGTAACAGTGAATGGACAAACGATTCGTTACTGGCTACACGTCACATTACTGCAAAATCACGCTGGTATCGGGACCAGTCGCCGTCGGGCAAACGAAATATTTTGTCGGATGCATTGGCCTTTCTCAAAAGGTAAAACAGAGTGTGGCGTAGATGGAATGCGCTTTTCATGGCGTTAACTTTATATAGGACGACCGCTTTAGGGTTGGCTCAGAAATGGTGTGGGAAGGGATCACTGTGCCTTTACATGTTAACGACCGTGGTAACACCTTGAGGCACACGTTGGGCCATTTGCGCGCCAACATTGTCTTCGTTTCGTGTTTCAGGATGACAGCGCACGAGTGCACAGTACTCACGTTGTAACTGAGTGTCATACCACCTTACCACTGCTAGCATTTACAGTCAATACTTGTCACTTGTCAATCGTGTGGGATATCTGTGGACGGCGCGTACGTCACCATCAACAACCACCGACCACTCTCGAAGAACTGCAGGAATAATGGCTTGGAATATATTACGTTGATACTGAAAGCTGGATTAGCAGTATCCCTAATTGAATCTGTGATTGTCTTTGAGGGTGGGCTCGCATGCACTCGATATTAATAAAGTGAGGTGAGCTGAAATGGGGTTTAACGTCGTACATAAGAATATTTCGCTCATATGACGACGTGCATGCGAGTGTATGTGTGGCTGCTTGCACTAGCCCAGACTTAAGCTGGTTTTATAGTGCTAGCTCACTGAGATACCATGCCGAAGTTAAGCATGAATACCCCACTCAGACACATAATACTGATTCCGAGCCAACCAGTCCTTGTTGTACCCATTAATGCCGAGCGCCAGGCAGGGACCAACAAGTACGACATTTTAACGTCTATTGGTATGACGCGGCCGGACATCGAACCCTCGACCTACCACACTCTGGGCGGACGCTATAATCACTACACCACGGAGACGGTCGATATTAATAAGACTTAACCTGGTAATTGCCATGATGGTCAGCTATGCCCTTTAGGATAATCATCTGACAAAATCAATGGTCCCTGTTGCGCTGTTAAATTATCATCTTTTTATCAAATATCCCCTACTTCTATAGTATGACCAGAAATTATTGAGAATTTTAGGAATATGTTTAATTGGATTTCTAGTATAAACAACCTTGACCAGCTATCAAGTGCTTGGTTTCATCCAAGAGAGACAACTCCGTTAATCTTTTTTCATTAGTTTGTGAAGAGTTACCCCTTTGTTTACTTGCTAGCAGACGACATTATTTGTGATCCTCAGTATGGATGATTTAGAGAAGAGGAAGTTGATTTTAGAGTATTATAACAAGGACATGAGATCAGCTAAATTGATCAGCTAAGTAGAACAGGCATCCCTTTGTCCACCGGTTATCGTGTTTTGAAAAATATTGCAAATGGATATGGCATTGAGCACCAGGGAGGCGCAGGTAGGCCCAGAAAATTGACTGTCGGTGACAGGAGGCGGCTTGGTATTCTTGTTTCTAATAACAAACGAAGGAGTTAAGAAAACTTAAGGCTGGATATGATTGATAGAGGAACTGTGGCTGTCTGTAAGGAGACAATTAGAAGTGAGCTGCATGCAATGGGTTGGCAGAAAAGTCGAGGAATTCCATCACCGATCATGAAACCTGAACGAAGGAGCGAAGGTTGAACTGGTCCTTACAGCATAGAAATTTTAACTGGGGCAATGTGATTTTCTCAGATGAAAGTATTGTGTGGCTGTTTCCTAATACACTGAAATTCTGGACCAAACAAACTGAAAAACCTTGGTATCAGCGCCCAAAGTACAGTCCGAAATTTAACGTGTGGGGTGGCATATCTGTGTTAGGGGCAACGCCCCTCTGTGTATTTGAAGGGAATATGAACAGTGAGCGGTACACAGACGTTTTTGAGGGACATTTACTTCCATCTGCTCTCGTGTTCTATGGAAATTTTTGGATTTTCCAGCAGGACAACGACGCAAGACATCGTTCAAAGCATTCACAGGCCTGGTTTCGGACCCAGGGTGTGACATTATTAGATTGGCCAAGCTATAGCCCTGACCTAAATCCAATACAAAATGTTTGGGGACTTATGAAGGAAAGTGTCAATAAGAAAAAACTGACAAATATTGCTGAAATGAAAAGAAGAGGTGTTCGGATATTGGGACAGCAGGGACCACGACTTTCTAACTTCTTTGATCAATAGTATGCCCCGCCGCATTGAAGCCTGCATTGCTGCCCATGGTGACTTAACAAAATACTAACTGTTCACCTGTCTTTGAATCTTTGTTCTGCTAATATTCACATTTAATACGTAATGAGTGAAAAAAAAAAAATCTTTAAATTCTCAATAATTTCTGGTTGTTCTGTATCAGCCACATTTATACCAACCAGTTCAATTTGTTCACTCTTACCTGTGAAATATATATCAAACCAATCGGGAACAGACTGAGGAGCACAGCACCGATGATGAGCCAGCGTCGCTTCTTCAACCGCGGAAAGATGTCCTCCAAGGCAGCGACGACAATTTCAACACCCGGTGCCTACACATATGCCCATTCAAAATCAATCAGAGTGTGACATTTATGAAGTGTTGGGTGGTGTGGAAGCCTAGCGGTTAGAGTATTTGCCCATCACGCCAAAGGCTCCGGTTCGATTCCCTACATAGGTGCAATGAAGCTGTGATACTGCTGGAATATAGCTGAAAGCATTGTAACATTGAACAGAAACTATCAAAGTCTTGGTTTTCATATTTGTGTTTTTTACCGATTGTGAGTTTTTTACCGAAATGAGCAAACTATGGAAATAGAAGGTGGCAAAAGAGCATGTATAACATTCACATCATCATGTTGGATAGTGGCCACATGGGTATGATGATCAGATGGTATCATAATTGATTCTATGTATTTTTTTTTATTTAATTTCAATTCACAAATAAATTACATATGACATAAAAGGCAATATATATGTCATCATTAAGTGACTGAGTGAGTGAGGTTAGTTTTACTCAACGATATTCCAGCTATATGACGGCGGACTATAGATAATGGAATCTGGACCAGACAAGCTAGTGATCAACAGCATGAGCATCGATCTACGCAATTGGGATCCAATGGCATGTATCAACAAAATCAGCGATCCTGACCACCCGATCCCGTTTGTCGCCAGTTACGACAAGCAAGGGTTACTGAAGATCAATTCTACCCTGGATCTTCACGGGTGACACCATTGAGGTTTTGTCGGGTTATAACAGATATAGATACAACCTAAAATATAAGGACACATTTACTTAGCTATATTTTTTTCAGTTGTACATATATCTTTAAATAACTTAAGAAATATCTCAAACATAATTGAATTTAGCTGGAAGTATACTATGATTTATTATTTTATTGTTTGAGCACACTCAAAACATAATAATTAATTTTGTAAATGTAACATTACATTGGAGATTGGTATTTGCCAAAAGTGTTTAGCTTAATCACGGTAAAAAATACATGCGATATGACTTCTGAGGTAATTTTACAAAAATAACATGTATCACTGTCAACAAGTTTCATCCTCAATAGTTCTTTCTTTGTACATATTATTCTGTCAATAAATCTGTACTGAAAGTCTGAATACATCATTCCAAATTATATCATGCTCAAAGCTGTGTATCAACATATTGTCGAAGTTTCTGTTATATATCATTAAATGTTATACTCTTTATATCAGGGTTTGACCTTATCATAATGCCTAATATTTCAACTGCAAGGGTTAATAAATAAGGTTAGACCAGACTTTTCTGTCTTCATCCCCGTTACCGAAAAAGAAAGAAATGTGCCCATTTTGTATCATAGCTGTTGTATTATTACCAGTCAGAATTTGAATTCACTTCATAATGTTGGGCCCCATTCCAAACGCTTATATTACCTGTATCATTAATGCTTCAAGGCCTTTTCAAAACCAACTAGTAATAATGGGTCAGGTTTTTTAACTCACTGGAAAGACTATATCATAGAGAAGTCTTATATTTTCACTCATATATCTCCAAGGTATAACACCTATTTGATTCTCATGCACAATACTATCTAATGTTGATATAATCCTGTTTGCTATAGATGTGTTTATTATTTTGTAAAGGGAATTTAGTTATGAAATAGGGCGATAGTTTAATAAAATTGTCTGTGTCTATTTGGCTAATGCAAATAAGTAATAATTCCTCTGTCTATTGTAATAGTTCATCCATTATTTGCAAATGTTTCTTTTATCAATTTATGGGGCCCAAATCTCTCTAAAAACGTAAATAATTCAATGGGGTAGCCATCAATTCCTGTGCTTTTATCATTCTTCATGGAAAAAAACAGCTTTATTAATTTCTTCTATGCTTATCTCTTTTTCCGAATCCTCATTCTTTCTAGTACTTTGTCATGCTTTTGAAAGTGAATAAGACTTAAATCTATATTATTGTTTTCCTCATGTAGGTGAATATCTCTATACAGATAACAGTAAAATTGTTTCAGTTCATCTAGAATACCATTACCATCTGTAATCAGATCGCCGTTATCTTTCATAACACTACTTATAAGCTTACTAGTAAAATTCCTGTTTTCTAGGTGAGAAAAATAGCTGGTAGGGTTTTCACCTTCTTCATACCATTTAGTTCTTTTTCAGTTTATTATCCTATTTATTGATTCTGAGAGAATTGGAAACTTCATCATTACCATGGAATCAATAGTCAAGGACATCAAGATCAGAAAGGTCATCACAGACCACAACTGAGGCAGAGGGAGAGCGGAAATGACCTCGGGGTAGACGATGAAGGCAAGGTCAAGTCCTGTAGCACAACAGACAAAATAACATATCTGGAACAGTTTCATACAATTCTTGTATTTGAATAGTGAGACTGACTGGTCAACACCTTTCTTTTAGCGCATGTGCTATGAAAAACAGGTATGAATTCAGTGACAAACGTGAACTGTTGGGTGTACCAGGAAGCTCTAAAGCGAAACGTTCAAACGAACGTCCATCCGTTTTTCTTGGAATACACGCCGCATCTATGACAGCAGTTGTGACGTCTGAAAGATGTTTTTATATGGCAACAAGTAGAGCAAAACGATTCACTGTCCTCTAAATGTGTTTTTCGTACAAGAAAATAGTCATGAACTTAAGTTGCTATGATCAGGTTGTTTTTCAAACGTAAAACCTCAATTGCACAGATTTGGACCACTTAGTAAACTGTAACCCTAACCCTAGGAAACAGTTTTTCAGGTATCAATATGTTACTCACCAGAGGATTGGAACGCTTCAACAGTCACTCCACGTTGGAAGGCCACGTGACCAACGATACAGAAGAAAGCAAAGCCGAAGAAAACGTTGCTGAGTGTATCAATCAAGCAAATCCTTATTGCATCCCTTTAAGAAAAACATAAACATCATGCTGTAAATACTGTTGAATGTCTGAATGTTAAAGCTTTCAGGTATTTGAATATATGCATTTACGTGAATATCGAACCAATCATTAGTTTTGCCTGGGTAGGGAAGTAAATGTGTCCTTCTCATATGTTGGTTCACATATACTTCGTTCTAGAGTTTGATATTGGTCAGTCACAAATATTTTAGAAATTACCATGTATTGATGCAAAAACTGAATCATTTCAGTAACACCTGTATGACCTAGAATATATACCTGAAGCAGTTGTTATCCTTTCTGTTGTGGGAAGACATAGTGATGATGCACCCCATGGCAATACCCAACGAAAGCAGGGCGTAGCTGCATGAATGGATCCACACCTTAAAACCATAGAATCATGTTATGTGTATACATAGCTAATCAGCATCATAAAATGTAACATAATCTTTCAAGATGGCATTTACTTAAATCGCAAGGTGTATTATAATAGTCTTGACATGAAACCATTCTTATGAAACAGTCAGTGAAAAGATATTCCTATAATATGGGGATGTGTTTATGCCACTTTTGAATATTTTCACAATTGTATCCTCAACACCGCCTAATCCTTCATCCCTGGAGATTATGAATGCTGAACACCTACAATTGAGCATACTAAAATCAAAATTGCATTGCTAGTACAGTCGCTGTGTTAGATACGAACCAATAATAACACTGAAGGCTAAAGAAAACCTGTTCCACAACACTGTAATTTCAAAAGTCACACTTGTGTAAACAGATTTGTGCTCACTTTAGGGTCTGCGAGCTTGTCAAACTTAGGGTAGATATAGTAGTATATTCCTTCTGCTGAACCCGGAAGTAGACAGCCCCGGATGAGGAATGCCAAGATGAGGATGTAGGGGAGAATTACAGTGATGTAGACAAGCTGGTGGAACAATAATCATTCTGTGATTGAGGGAATAATTCGTTTCGGTTAGTTTAACAAAGGTAATATAAGACTGAAATATGTGATCCCATAGGTTACACGTAAAATAAAGATATCTCAATAGAGCAACAATTCAAATGCATAATATATATTATGTGTAACTTCTTGAAAGAGAACAGTATAACAGCATATTAACCTTATAGTATGTTTTTGGCCCCAAACAGTATGGCTTGAATTGTGTAAATTACCTTCCCTGATACTTTGATTCCTTGAAATATCCAAAGAAATAAGATCACTGTAGTGACGGCGAGACATCCAACAAGGTGCCATCTTAGACCCCCAAGGTTGTCCAGGCCATCACTCTCTCCGAGCATCTGGAATCTGTAGAGGTGAATACCATTATATCAAAAGCCTACATCAGGGACAAGAGTGAGTGAGGTGGGCGTCATGCAAACAATATATAAGACGTCAGCAAGCAGGAAGAGGTGCAAGCCTTGAAAACGTATTATGAAGTGAGCACGGATTTTGTGCTAAGAATCCAATAATGATGATTCTTGTTTCATGAACTAAGTTAATGCAATAAATTGTTACTTGTTTTTTGTGTGCTGAAGAACAATGCTACATTCGAAAGAAAGAAAGTGTACGCCAAATAACAATGCATATAGAAATTAATATGTATTCGTAAACCAACTTCCAGAATTCTTCGGCAGCTGTCATCCTTCCGGCTGTTTCATTCAAGGGATGTCCAGCGTCTGTTAGGGCGGTGTTAGACGTTGTGTCGTTAGATACATACGTAGCGTTCTTGTTCCATATGCATGCTGGGGTGTTCCACGCGTTGCCGCAGTGATCCCAGGGCAGGGTGTGGAAGAACGAGTAGTAAAAGTAGTACAGAAACCATGCGAATTGGACGGTGCAATAGCTGACATATATCCATGTAACGACAACGGTACCGACTCCTATACCTGCAATATTTGGGAAAATATGAATAGGTGTCAGAGCGCGTCATTCTGCTTTCCGAAACATTGTCTACATTGAATGTCTTTTTGAGAAGTGTGACCATCTGGTGTGGTGGTGACAAAGCAAAACTTGAATGAAATCCACGTTCACTGGTTTAACTGATGAACGCCTCGCGCCGGGGCAGGTGCCCCTTTGAAACTATTTCAGATTCACCTGGTAAATATGCTCCGAATTGGTTTTCCAATTGCATGATTAAGATGGCATTGCTATAATGTCGAAATATGTCATGGTCTTTAAGTTTACGTATTTGTCCTTTTTGTCACTTGTCATGTATTTCAGTTGTTACCTTTGAAAGCAGGACACATATTCCAGACATTTATAGGTCCACTCTGAGAGAACTGTCCGATTGTCATCTCCAGAAACACACAGGGGATGGTTCCAATTATTATGAAAAACGTCACCAGTATCAGGAATGCTCCTTGTCAACAAACATAAATAACTCAGTATTTTCAAGATTGACATTGCATGTTTTAAAAGCTAAAACCATATATCCCCATGGTACAAATCGACAACATCAATTCTAACCTGCGTGGCATGTAAGAAACTGTGCCTTAGAACGGAAGACAGCCAAACAACATAAGTAGAAAAATTCAGTACCATATCCGGTTATAGGTACAGAATTATGAATTATTGTGTCATCCATCCACAGACTATGACTTACCTTTCATTGCATGCCAAGGATCCCAGTCAAAAAACAATCACATTAGTTAATTACCGTTGGTTGAAAGATCCTGACTGTTGATAAAGTGTCACACAATCACTTAGATTAGAGTAGACCTTTTATCCATCTGGTACCCACGAGGCATTTTGTAGCACAACCCTTGGGCTTTACCTAGACAAGCTCTGCACTAGAATCCTTATGGCGTCAATTAAACAAGCAGTTTGCTAATTACTTTCCCAACGCAAAACTAATGAGTCCACATCATTACCATGATATATAAAAAAATACCTCCGATCATTAAGCTTAAAAGACTTACAGTTAAAAAAGTGTATAAATTCTAAAGGTTCCGAGACGCAGACAGGATATTATGTGAGTTAGGCTTACCTCCTCCGTTTCGCATGCAATAGAAAGGGAACCTGATGAAAGCTCCCGACCCGACACAGTATCCCACAAGGGTGATGATATAGTCCAGCTGACTGCGCCATTGTTCGTGAGACATGGTTGTATCCAAACTATAACAAAATTCACAGGAACACAGAGGGTCTTGAATATAGAACGTTAGTGCAAAAAGAAGGGTGAAATATCAGTCTATGGCAACTGTTTTATTCATTGTTGAGACTTTTGATATTTGGTTCGCCGATGGTTATGCTGTATATTTTCCCCAATTAGTACTGTATGTTTTGTGCTGGTTTACACAATAAAAATTGTACACCACAGGATACAGACGGGTTCATACTTATAAAGTTATAGAAGTGCAGTAATACTGTTTTGTTTAATCCTTATAGTTAATCTTGTTCGTTAAGTGTGGAATGTATGGTGATGTGCATGGTTTGGAATGTCACAATGCGTCCCATCTTTTGCTGGGCAACAAAACAGGCGTTCGATATGAACCAGTCTTTCGCGCTTATTCCTTGTACATCTCGGAAAAATACAATGTAAACCATTGTAACGAATTCCATGACCTGATTGTCAGAGATTTCCAAGCATATGGTAAAAGGATATACGTGTTGCATACAATAACAATATCATTAACATAAATAGTATATGACAGTAACTGTTTGGTCAAAGAACTTGGTATATTGAGGAAGAAATCTGCCAAAGGCATGTTCACAAGGAAGTATTTGAGACAAGTATTATTACTTTGGAGATCGTCAAAGTATTTGCTTGATCTTATTTAAAAATCTGAAATACGAAGCTCAAGTTACAAAGCATTTGATTTGTCATCTTTGTAGATTGCTGTCCCTGATGACAAATAAAGAGACAAACTTCAGTCAGGGAGTTTTTGTCACGAAACGTGGTGGCCATCGATTGAAGTTGAATTTTATTTTCAGACAATCAGGACAGTGTGACAAGACTGAACGCAAAAGACTATGTAAACTGAGAAAACGATTTTCGATATGTTTCCTTGTTGGTACCATGTATGGAAAATTGGGGAAAAGACCTTCAGGCGAGGGGAACGGATTCCCATAGGCACGAAGGTGCTCCACGTTCTTATAACCCGTGCTTGAATATAGCTGAGTGCGGCGTAAAGCTAAACACACTCACTCACTCCACGTTTTTATTATCTGTTCCCCAATGTTTCTGTTTGGACTAGTGATGTCCAGTCAAGGTAATTTTACCAAGACCGTTGTTAACTTTACCTACGGGTACATACGATCTGATATTGGTCAATTATATTGTGACAACCAATTCCCTTCTGCGTTTACACCAATCTGAGCTAGCTAATAGCTAATATCGAGACCACTGAGACCGCCTCATCTGTTCAAAGTAGAGATGTATGCGTGATGAGTACCGAAGCACTCACATGATGTGTATGACACGGGGGATAATTTTTACTTTGAAGTAGTCAGCTTTCCCTTAATGGAGAGACAATTTTAACATATTTCACATAAATATTATCCATGTCGAAAATCAACATTTCACATGTAAACTTCAGCTCATCATTGTAATGTATTACAATGAGTAGGTGGATGGGTGAATGAGTATATCTTTAAGCCGCCTTTTATTCCAGCAATATCAGGGCGGGGGACAAAAGAAATGGGCGGGGGTTAAAAGAAATGGACTTTACACATCGCACCCATGTGGGAAATCTTACCTGGGTCTTCAGCGTGACGAGCAGACTCTTTAACCATCAGGCCACCCCCTGGTCCTGGTGTTGGATATATGTATAATATTCAGCACAACAGCACAACTTAACACAAAGTTGTCATTTGAGTGAAATACGAAATGAAATCCTCCATTCACTCCAAATGCCACATCGCCAGGTAAGTGAGCTTGTCCTAAACAAGTTTACATAACATAGGTTATTAAGCACATATTGTATGTTCAGTAAAGAGAAGACGCCCTGATGAAAAGGTATCTAGTCAAGCAAGCAGACATTACATTTGTTAGTGCCTTTGTGCAAGTCAAGAGTTAATTCGTCAGGGATTATATGAACAGACAGTACGCTAGTTAGAGTGGGTAAATACAGACTAAATAAAGGATATTTGAAGAGAGTGAGTAGCCAAGCAAATCTTTAGAATCTGTAATTACAAACGAAGTATAATTGAAAATATGGCATGAACATACATGCTAATTGGCTAAATGATGTGCTTAATTGGCACTTTAGAAATTAGTGAACGGTAACGTACTTTACGGGGAACTTCTTTATTGTGTTTTGTATTGGTATTGCGTTATACCGAGAGCTTCCTTTAACTACATTGCTAATCCCGAGGGAATGTCATGTCATCTGCAACATATGACACAGCTGAGAATGGGAGACAAATGGGGTGTCTGCATCTTCATTATTCCCTTATTGTTTATATTTTAGGGGCTGCTGGCACATTCCTCCCCAAAACTCTGGTTTCGAAAATCATCAGTTTGCCAAATTCTTCTTTAAAGGTCACATAAACGAGAATGGGAGACAAATGGGGTGTCTGCATCTTCATTATTCCCTTATTGTTTATATTTTAGGGGCTGCTGGCACATTCCTCCCCAAAACTCTGGTTTCGAAAATCATCAGTTTGCCAAATTCTTCTTTAAAGGTCACATAAACCCTAGGGGGTACAAATACATAAATCACTAACTGGCATCGTTATAAATGAAACCCCGTCATTAAAACTACTCATTTCGACCTTTAATTGACTTAAATCGACCTTTTTGACAACAGTGCACAATTCTCACCCGCGAACGAAATTTCAACCAATCAGAGCGGCGCGCCTCTGTGACGTCATATGAGGAATAGCTTTGAGAGCCGATGCAGAATTCATCTACATTTTAGGGGGTAAATTATCGTGTTTACAGGCTTGTATAAACCTGAAATCGTGACAACTGTTGTGGAAAATGAAAGCTATATGTTCTCACAATCTACTGTCATTTAATTTTGTCTCCTGCTTTGCCTAGTTTCCGAGTTACAACTTGTTTTCATAGACGATTCTGTCAAAATCGATTGGTGTCGTTAGGCCCTATTTGTATAATGACTGATCCAAATTGATCCCATTTCTGTGTTGTTTTACCTCGATATTTAATCATGTCATGTAAAAAATCTGTTTGTATTCTCAAAACAGTGTCGGCCCATAAGTTTTCACATGCAATACAGCAATTAATACTCCCTCGTTGTAACCCGTGTTAGGTGGTATAAACCTACACATGTTATTTGTCATCATTCACTTGATGGTCAGTTAATGAATTTATAACAGGTATAATTAGTGGTAACACACTTAGATTACCCGACAAAGGTTCCCATTTGGCATTTCTTGTGTCTGGAGTAAATATTCAACATTATAAACATCGATCAAAGGATTAACCGATAACACGCTGATTGATTAATTACTTTTATCTTACACAGCGGAATTGTCAAAAGGTAGTGTTTATGTATGTAGATTTACTAATCTATACTGAATACACTCTGTCGTGTCGGTGTCTGCGTAAAATTAACGTCCTTCTTTCAAAGGATTAACCGGCAATTCATTGATTGATTGCCCATTATTGGCAACAGAATAACTAAATTACTGTTTTTAAAGAAAGGCGGACATTATGCAATTAGTTGCCAGGTGTGCTA